ATGTGTACCTATCTAGTTTATGGAGTTGAACTAGTTGATGCAGTAGTATATCTTAAATTAGTCGATAGGTTATATAGCTGCATACAATATTTTTTATAAGCAAAAAATTAATTTGCTGTCGTCAGGCCAACGAGGCACGTCAGTGGTAACATACACTTACTACTAGAATTGGTCACGTGTAGTCCTAGCCATGGGAAGCCCGGCCCAAAAAAGCCCGACCCGGCCCGGCCCGACGCTGCTCCTGGGCCGGGCTCGGGCCTAGATTTTGAGCCCGAAGGTCAGGCCGGGCCCGGGCCTGTCATTTTTGCAATTTCCTGAAGAGGCCCGGCCCGATGCCCGAGGCCCGTCGGGCTTTTATGTTTTCGGGCCAGTCTCGGGCCTAAAAACCAGGCCCGATGGCCGGGCCAGGCCGGGCTTGGGCCTGGGTTTTTTGACTCGGGCTTGGCTAGGCCAGGCCCGAAGCCCGGCCCAGCTCGAGTTTTGGCCAGGTATAGTCACGTGGCACGCCATCAATATGTAAAATACTGCTGACGTGTGCTTCAGTGCCACCAGTAAATTTTGTCACTAGTGCCATATTGGTGGCGTTGGAACTCAATGCCAGCAAGGCCAATTTTATCATGCCATAGGTAGGCTTTTCTGCACTAGTGGAGTGTTGCAGACAAAGTGAAGTGGTCTTATTTGTGTGTATGTATCGATCACTGACTGCAAACCAAGACTTTGCAGATTGATACCTTGATTCTCAAATGGGGAAAACTTACTGCATTCTACAAACCCTTGTACTTCGGGGCCCAACAAACTCCGTCCACAAAATAAAGGATATCAGTACCAAAAAGCTGGGGTTTATAGCATGAAGCGAGTTTCCCTCAGTTAAGAACCAATGTATAAATTTGTGGAGTTCTTTATTGAGTCAATTATCAGTGCACGCACACACAACTAGAAAACTTCTGTTAGTCCCCAACTTAGACTAGTGAGAGGTTGTCAATTCCACTATCTTTGCTAGTTACAAGCATTAATGTATTTTGTGGTTCAACTGATGTTTTAATTGATGAAAGTAAAAGTTTGGATTGTAAAATAATAGAAAACAAAGTTCTGAGGAATAAAGGGTCTGGGTCCATAATTTCACAAGTGGTATCTCCCCTAAAGCATCAAAGGTGAGGTGAACAAATTGCAATTACATATTGATTAAATTGCGGTGTTTATGAGTAATCATACATGTCATGATTGCATATAGGCATTACACTCTTATGTACGTAGACCATTAACCAACTGCATCTATATCGAATACTCCTCATACATCTCAAAATATTAAGTAAACTAGAGTATTACATTCAGCAAGGTGAAATAATGTTGATATTGTATTCTCTTTACCTCCCATTGATCAATGAGATAACTACGCAACTATCTTTTTATGCTTAGTGGCAATAACACAGTACATGCATTTTCTTCTTTTTCCTGTCACTAAGATAGATTACGTACAAGGTTAAACTCGTGTAGCATACACAACTCCCTCTTGGAGATTATTCATTGAAACATGGATAGTGCAAGACTAATAGATCGGAGAACATGTACGTATATAGATCACGCATCAAAGATCTCAAATATCTGATAAAAAATGACAATTCATCACACCACAATAAACACGCCATGAATTACATCGGATGGATCATAATCATGTAGGGCATCTCATGTGATCTTTGTATAAAGAAACAAGGGAGAGGAGATGTCACATATCTATTGTTATGGACTCATAGTCCTAGGAGGACTACTCACACATGATCATTGGAGCAACAAGGCTGATGTAGATGGTCCCGACATCAATTTTCCCCTCCAGCAGAGTACCGGAAAGGATTCCAGGTTGGATCACCTTGAAATGCATCCAAGCGGCGGCGTAAAAATTCTCGAAAAATATAGGGTTTTGGGTATATATAGATCCAGGGGACCAACATTCGAGGAGATGATCACCAAAGGGCATACAACCATATGGCGCGACTAGGGGTCTGGCCCTGTGGCCCACACGCTTGGGGCCCCTGGCCTCCCTCGACATCTCTACGGCCCCTAGTGGCCTTATAGTGTTGAATCTTTGAAACATATTTTATTGTATACTTTAGTTCTTGGAAACTAATAATTTTGAAATTTTCAAAAACATGAAAGCAACAATTGATACTGGACACTATATTAATAGGTTAATCCAATAAAATTCTTTAAAGAAGTGGCAAAACTATGTATAAATGATATAAAAGTAGCACAAACATGACAAATATTATAGATACATTTGAGACGAATCATGATTTCGCGGCTCCGAGGGTATATTTTGGAGTTGAGGTGATGGAGGCGGACGGCGTTGCACTATCGAGGATTCACACGACTTCAATTTAGTGAAGGCGAGCAACGTCGTGGTATTGAGGTTTCATACGACATTAAGGTGATGGGGATAAGAAGCACCACAAGCTCAAGGGTCTGTGTGGCTTCGAGCTGACGAAGGAAAGAGGTATCGCGACCTCAAGGCTTCGTTGCATCAAGGCATTGGATGTTGTGCAAGGATATTGGTGATTGTTGCCAACAAATAAATAAAAGTGATGACTATAAATGGTAGCCAAAACTAGTAAAAGCAAGCTGAGGATATTAAAATGCGACGAATTTGGGACATCACATGGATGATATATCACTCATACGATAGTGTGTATATTTAGTTGAGCAAGTAATTCTAAATACATGTTCTTTTGCCTACGTAGGCATGTGTTCCTAACGTTATAAGATGTACTTATATAGGTATCATCCATCTTTTATCCGACCCATGCAAGTCACCGTGAATATATAGTGTATTACGATGGTCATTTCTCGAAACCATTGAAGCAACACTATAACACTGAATGGACACATTTGATCCACAAATTATAGTCCACACCCCTGATATTATGGTATGTTTCTCTTAGGGGCACCTGTTTGGAGTCCAAACTTGTGGCACTTGGGTGTTGGTGCACCTGACATACAAAACTAATTTAGTAATTCAAAAATAAAGGAAGAAATGAAAATTCTGGAAACATACATGACCAAGTGTTGTACCCGTATAAAAATTTCCGTGAAGAAATACCTCCAGCGAATTCTATGAAAACCAAAATCAAGACTATATGCAAGTTACTGTTCATTAGTTTTGTACTAGGAAATTTGTTATTTTGGCCTGAGGTCGGTGGAAGTTTATTCATGTGCTAAACCTTTTATATGGATACAAAGGTAGGTCAACTTTGTTTCAAAAATAGTTTCGGGATTTTTTTGAATTTTTCTGTAATTAATACCAGCACCCGAGTGCATCAGGTATTACCCCACCTGTTTGGAGATATAAAGGTGAAACAGCTTGTAGGAATATTCTAAACACATAAACATGATGATAACATATATGATTCATATCCGAAATGTTGCTACTTTTGGGCCCTATTCAAAATATTACACACAACAAAGTTGCAAAAAACAATAGTCAATGACAATAATATAACTAGAACCACTAATATAACATCACAACACTATTACATCGGCTAAAAGAACACTATTACATGATTGGAAACACCCAATTCCCATCCATCTCATATGCCTACCCAAATCGCTCACACATGAATAGAAAAACTGATAGCGGCAATGGAGGAAGACATGGTGCCAATGACTATGGAGAGGAGGCCTCCCGGACAAAGCAGAAGGCAATCTGATCTGCCCCCAAAATGATGATCAATAGATACATCGGCTCTCGCCATGGAAAAAAGATGAGCAAAAATAATAATTCTTGAGGGTTTTCGGTGGAACCCCTTATATGATCATAACGGGAGCTTCATGAGGCACACCTAGGGGCAACACACCCACACCCAGGCCCTAGATGGACGGCACGGGTGTGAGAGCCCCAAGTGTGGACCCTCCCAAGTTTTCTTTTGTGTGCCATTATTTTTCTTCTGAAACCCTGGAATATATTTGTATATTATTTTCTCTAGGCTTAAATTCCTACACATTCACATACACAATTTTGGGTTTCTGCCAAAAGCAGTGCTAGTAACAATAGTCTTTACTTATGAGGGTAAAGTTATACGTCAAATTATACACAAAGTGGCTAGAAAAATAGATACATTTTCACCGTATCAGCTCCTCCAAACTTAATATATTACTTGTCCGCAAGTTATCACGTCCTAACCATATGGTACACCTTGACCCGCAATTTAGCATCACATTAGAAAAACGTTCGTTACTCGTTTGTTGCTCCTGCAATGTCTCAGTTATCTTTGTGACCTAGCTGCATTTGTATCTAGTCATCACTATAATATGATAAGTTTTTTTTGACAGAAAGATGATAAGGTTTTGGTCAAACCTCACATCTACACGTATAACGTGCGCGGGCTTGCGGGGCCTGAAATGTTGACAATAACAACACCTCAACATGCACGTGAATGTGTGGTTGCCGTGAGAAGCTTGCACAGACACGGCTTCGAAACATCTCTCTGTTATTTATTTAGCATTGCCTATAATTTTTTTTCGACAAAGAGCATTGCCTATAAATACAGGGCAGATTCATCCAGACATCTACATCTGGAAAGCAAGCCAGTGCTAGAAAAGACCAAATCACATAGAGGTACATAGAGCTGCTGGTGAGTACCATGTCTTTCCTCACTATTTTTTGAGCAGATCTTTGTTATTCTATCTATTCTTCGGTTTAGAATGCCATTTATCGCAGGCATCTCTAGCAGCATGATCAGAAATTCATAGTATCCATTGTCTTCTCTCTTTCCATGTTATTCACTATTTTCTCTTTTTTTGTACTTAGAAAGTGTTTCTTTTACATGCTCCAAACTAGGAGTACTACTTACAAACTTATAAAGGAAAAATTAAGCTGAAGACCAACTGCTGGATTGAGTTGTGGCTTAGCTAAAAGTGAAGCCTACTTAAGTGGGAACTGAAAATTCATTTCGCTGATGTTGACCAGGAAGCACTACTACTTGCAGGCGTTTGTCCAATTTCGTTTCAACATGAGCACGCCATGCGACGGCCCCAAGACGGAGTGGCCTGAGCTGGTCGGCCGGACGATCAAGGAGGCGGAGGAGAAGATCAAGGCGGACCGACCGGACCTCACCGTGGATGTTGTCCCAGTAGGAACTAATGTGACGGGTGAGTTCAATGAGAACCGCGTCCGCGTCTGGGTCGACACGGTGGCGGAGGTTCCCCGGATTGGCTAAGCTGCTTTTAATTAGCCTACAGGAATACTGGCCCGTGCAGGTCTCCACATCGTCTAGTTAATCGACCGAATAAATAAGCATGGGCACGGTCTGAAAAATGTATGGATGTACTATGTCATGTTGTTCTGTTGTGAGTTGTAAGCATGAGTAATATTGTGGAGCCACTGGTTATTGTTTAAGAGATATAATCTACTTTGGCATTAGGACATGCTCTGTGAATTCTTTTTTTTTCTTCGACAAAGGATGAATTTTATTGGCTCAAAATTGAGCATCAAGAGAATACATAACACAATGAGCACACACCCGGCGTTTGTATAACTAGGATGCACATAGCCAATCCAACACACACGCACACCGACAACTAGCAAAGTCATAAGACCAAAGGCTATGTGTCGGCAAGGAAAAAAAGAAAAAAAAACAAAACGATCAGATCGGTGATCGACAAACTACAATTGAGACCATATCCGCACAAACCATTGACACCACAATGATAACGAGGATCTTCAATAGCAACATCTTCAGGAAGGGAGCGACACTCAAGCACCGCCGTCATCGGATCTAACCACAAAAGCCAGAATCTAAATTTTCACCATGAAGAATCAGTCCAAGCAAACCGAGCAATGCCTCAACAAGGTAACGACGTAAAAAATCATCGCCATTGCCAGGTGTAACCACTCGGGTCTGACCTAGGTTCTCACCCCGGAGCTCGAGACCTAGTGCACGCAACACCACCATCCAAGTCATACAAGTGTCGTCGCCCCCGCTTTCCGCAATCCCAGCAGCTACAATTGATCGCCACCACTCTACAACTTACCCTTTGCGTCAAGTCATCATCCGTAATTTGTACCATATCACTGAAGTCATCCACCATATCAAGAGATAAAACCTCCCGAAGTCTTTTCGATGACCTCCGCTGTCGTGGATCCATAGGAAGTCCTTGCAGGGCAATCTACAGTCACCACCATCTGGCAGATCTGATCTATATCACCACCACCAACCAAAGATCGCAGCGATGTCGGCCAACACCGCACACGTGGAAGGCCAGCACATCGCCGCAGCCCCACATGCTCAACGCAACGACCCTACGGGCCGCCGTCTACACCTTGCGTCATCCCGGGGTCAGATCCTTGAAGAGCGTCATCGTGCACCACAAGGGTGGCCCCGAGGCCAGCCGAAGAGGACACCATCCCAACCCCGGGTCCAGCTGTGAATTCTTCTTGAAGGCCATGCATGCAGGGTACAATTTTCTAATAAGTTCAATGAGGCATGAAGACATAACCTTGTTACCTTCCCTGTAGTTCCAGAATAGACCTATCATTCAAATCTATTGGGCATATTTCTTGTTTTGATAGCTCAAATGCTCAATCAGGAAGTTGGATAGAGATGTCAGCAGTCATTTGGCTCTTGGTTATAAGTCAAGTAACCACAACAATCCTGTTGGTATAAGACGTCCTCTTTTTCCTAGACTCGACAAGAATAAAAGGTTGTTCATTCTTTGTATTGTCATTTTCTTGGGAAGAGACGCACACAAATTTAAGGGAGTTTTATCGCCATTATGGTTTTCTAATATAAAGGATGTAATCTTTCACATGGTTAGTTACAATTTTAGTAGCTAGCCCATCCCAAGCAGATTCAAATCATTTAACATACCTCACAAAGGAAAATCATCAAAGAGAATGTTAATAACCATCAAAGAAGCTTTAAGCATATGTTTCTTATCGCATACACGACAGAAGAGTTAGGGGTAGAGGTTGAAAAGGGGTTACCTTACATATCCCTTTCCAAGTAAGGTTATTCGCTTGATAGATCACCTTATCCATATGGCACAACTAGGTGCGCCGACAAAACCGAATGCTCTCCGCAACTCCACAATCATCAAGTGCATAAGGCGAAAAATAGCCATCCTTAAATGTACAGTATTTTTGAAGGGATTGAACCAAGTAACCAGGGGATTAAGTAACAAAAGTATAAGCTCCAGACTCAATTTCCATGACATGAGGTAAAGGAGGCCAATCGTGCACACTTAGTCTAACATGATATATAATAGTGCGTCTTAAGCCCCATTAATTTTGGTGATTAATGACAAACAATTAAGAGGACAAATGTTTTATCAAAACTATTCAGGAACTTTGTTTACTGGAATCGGCTAATTTACCGTCAGCCACACAAAGGCGACAAAGGCCTGAAAACAGACAACAAAGAATTTGCCATCAGCTAGAAATCGGCGAAGAGCTACTTTGCCGTCAGCCGAATATCCACAGACGACAAAGTCTTTGCCGTCAACTAAAGTATATCTTTGCCATCAGCCAAATATTCACAGACGACAAAGAGATTGGTAAATATTAAGAAGAACCAGCTGCCCGTAGCTCCATCGGCCGGCGCCGCCGTGACGCTCATTGTCATCACTTCCACGGCCCACGCCCTTTCTGTAGGGTCGCTCGATGCCTCTGCCCTCACCCACGAGGAGGTCGCCGTCGCCACGGCCTCCGCCTTGGCCGCACTTGCTACCGCCCGGCTCTGCTCACTCGCGCCGCCGATGTTGTCTCCGCCCTCACCCACGAGGAGGCCGCCATCACGGCAGTGTCCACTCCGGTCGTCATCTTGGCAATGTGTGGCCCCGCTTGCCCGTGTCACCGATGTCGTCCCCACCCTCACCCGCGAGGAGGCCGTCGTCACCGTGAAATCCGTGTCGACCACCGTCTCCGCGCTGTGTGGCCCCGCTCGCCTGTGCCGTCGATGTCGTCTTCACCCTAACCCGCAAGGCCGCCACCGTCGTCGTGGCATACGCATCGGCCGCCCTCACAACCGTTCAACCCCGCTCGCCGGCTTCCCCTCGAGCTCAAGCCAGAGAAAGGAAGGAGATAGAGAGGAGGCTCGGGAGAGAAATAAAGAAAGGAGAGAGAGGAGGGTCAGGCATGTGCGTGGTGGGGGTGGCTGCCCCTGCCACATCATCAATCCACATGATCTATCTGCGAGATGTGCTTTCTCTTTGCTGACAGCCTAAAAAACAGATGACAACGTCTTTCTTTGTCGTCAGTAAAAAAACAAACGACAAAGTGAGCTCTTTGCTGTCAGTAAAAAAAGACGACAAAGTCTTTCTTTGCCTTCAGTAAAAACAGACGACAAAGTCTATTTTGCTGTCAGCCATTCTTTGTTAATTGTAGTTGACGTCAAAAAGTCTGACGGCAAAAAGTGGTCTTTGCTGTCAGGCCCGACGAAATGCTGACGACAAAGAGCCCCACAGACGACAAATTAGCTGATTCTATAGTGTCTATATTGCTGAGTGGAACATCATTGGTGAATGCTAGTTTTTGTGCTAGCAAATGGTTGTCCCTTTGAGATCATAGTGTGTGATTTATAGGGTTTTAGTGGATCAAAAATTCATGTTGAGTTTAAGGGCAACTGTACTATCGAGAGGGGCAAATAAAAATTAACTACTACCGAACTCGATCTCAAGTTCCTAAACCAAATCCCTAAGCTTTTCACCCCAACCACTCAATTTCTTAAGTTTTCGGCTTCCTCAATAGTTTCGAGTATTTCCTATGCGACACTACCTTTTCTGTGAGGAATGAATGTTTCAGCTGATCGAACAAAGTTCAATAAATTTTCTTTGGATGCCAATATTTTTCTTGTGTACCATGGAGATTTTTGTGCAGTACCCTGGAGTTATGTTTTTGTTGATGCCATCTCTATTAGCTCTAGCACCTCCAAGTTTTACTGTTTCCTACACTTCTATGAACCTCTTGGTTTGCTTCAGCCTATCGACTCAGTATAGATCTAATAAATCCAAGCTTTCTATCTTCCGATGCCTTTGAATATTTGGTTCTTTGAGAGTCTTACTGAATAGCCAGGTACCTCCGAGTACAGCACACTTCCACGAACATCTTGTTTTCCACGAGACCGCTCAAACTTAGAACTAATCCAGTAGTACCATGAAAACTTGGGCTAGTTAAAATTTTCAAGTGTAACATTAAGTTTTCTGCTTTCTCTAGAAATAGAACCCCACAACTCTTGAGTGGGTCGGCCAATTTGAGTGTGACCATGAGAGTGTTTTCATGGCAGAAAATTCAGAGCTTGATGATCAAGCTCCTCCCTTTCTTGAACCTGTCCTTCGGACTCCATTTGTCTTTGCTTCAAGCATATGTTTGTGTGTGTGTAAGAGAGAGAGAGAGAGAGAGAGAGAGAGAGAGAGAGAGAGAGAGAGATCATATGAGTTCTTGAGAGAGTTGATTGAAGATCTTTTTAGGACCTCGTCCGACTTTGCTTTGCTTTTTAGTCTTCGAGGATATGCACCTCTTAGACGATTAGGAGTCACTTGAGAGCCTTCAAGGCTGTGAAGAATCAAGAGTTTATTCGAGGTTCGATGAGCACCTTCTTCGTGCAAGATTAACTCCAGAGTGAGATTTAGTTGGGGATGTTGTCGAGACCTTTGTGGTCTTAGGACTTTGTGTCCAAACCTCCACCAATGAGGAGTAGAATAGGAATCTTGGAAAAACATCATTGTGTCAACTATATTTGCTATCTCTTTTCCCTTAGTCCTAGTTTTGCTGCAAGTTTACCTTCCGAACTCATAGATAGTTGTATACATGTTTGGGTAGATTCTCCTAAGAAACCAAGTACAAATGCTCATTACTTGCCAGCTAAAATTTGAGGATATAATTTTTATGTGAGTATTCATCCTCTCACCTCTAGTCCATAACACTCGGTCCTACGAAATCATAGGATGGACTCTGATGCCCACAAATGTAGGGGATGTCAGTCTTCAATGGAAGTATTTTACCTTGATATGTATTTTACACAACGGGAAAAAGAAAATCTTGATAAGACTTTATTAGTTGAGTCATCAACCTTAAACACAGATATAACGAGAATTTATTTGATATACTTTGTTAGTACGGATTATGATTGACTATTCATATTGGTGATAGTTCCAAATAAGTAAATAAAAGTGGTGGTTGCCTGGTGGTAGTCAAGAAATGTGTGATAAAAGAGGGCAACCG